AGTCAGGAGAGCACCATGGATGCGTGTGGTGCTGCTGACGCAGGAGCCGGTGTTTTGACGTAGAATCTGGATGCGCTGCGGCTTGTTTGCAAGCAGCGGAATGCACACGCTTGTGTCGTGGTACTGTTGTGAACACACATCGAAGACTGACACGGAAGAGAAGAAATTGTTGAATAAAGTCATTATTTTTGTTTTCTTTGCGCACAAAAGGTATTTTGGTAGCTTCATAATGTTAAGGTTGAACCACTGATGTAACATGGACTATTTTAACGATGTCCGTACTACGTTTCTGGGCCTTGAACGTGTCAGTTGCATTACTGTCTATGGAGGGTCAGAAAGCTCTCGAGTTTCATCAAAAATATCGTAATTTGTGTTCTGAAGATGAACTAAAGTCTTATGAGTTTGGAACGGCATGAAGGTAAGTAATTAATGACAGAATTGTCACTTTTGGGTGAGCTATCCCTTTAAGCATACTAAAGTGCTTATTATTGAAATAATATATCTGTGTGCAAGTTGAATGTATTGTTTCTGACACTTAATTGCATGTCAATTTCATTTAAATTAAAATGCAATATAGTTTACATTTATATTAAATGCAGCTGAACTTTCGTGGGTCCTTGTTTGGTGGTTTCCTTTTTTTTTACATCGTTATCTGTAATTTCATAATTTCTTCTATTGTCTTAAAATATGAAATATGGTTATAGTGTATTGCTGAATGTACTGACAAGTATTCATGTCAAATGAAATATAAATGAATGTAGTTTCTACTAGGCGTGTAATCAGTAGTGCATTTAAAATATATCAACTTCACATGAAATAGGCCTATCTAATAACTCAATTAAAATTCTAATCAAGTACTTTAAATGTTATTCAACACATCAAAATAAGTGTACTTCTTTAAAACCCAACAAAAGATTACTAAAGCATGATTTCAAATGTATTTTAATATAAAACGTATTACAATTGCATAGTGCACTTTGTAAATGAAAAAAAAAACAGTCATGACAGTGTACTCTCTTTATATTTTTAAGTGGGCTTTCATTAATATTATCTATGAGTATACATATTTTTTATGATATATTTTGAGATTTTAAGCACCCTAGAAGTCATTGTTCAATACAATTAAGCACACTACTTTTTCACAAGGGAAGGCTAAAATACTGTAAGTGATGAAAACAACAAAATACTGATAAAGATTGCAAGAGATTTCTGACTCTTCTAACCCTCATGGTATGTTCCATCATTTTGACTTGGAAAACATTTTCTTTTCCAAAAAATACCAGTTAAAGCTGCAGTCCGTAACTTTTGGCGCTCTAGTGGTTAATAAACAGAACGGCGTGCGTCTTGCGGAAGAACATTGTAGCCAGAGCTATTTCTCTCTGCTTATGTCTATGGTGAATCACGCAGGTACTGGGCTGCTTTTTCGCAGCGGTACCTACCCGAACCAGTCTAAATAGTCCGAATATAGACACTTATTATAGGTGTACCGTAGTGATTCAGGACAAGCCAAAAACACGGTTTGGAACATGGATTCATGGTGTTCTCGCTTATTATATAAATTTTGTCAATTTTGAACACAAAAAAGTTACGTACTGCAGCTTTAAGATTAATGCGTTGGAATAAAACTTAGTGAAACAGAGTGGTCCTGGTCAAAAATGGCTATCCTACCAAAAAATATGCTTGCAAATCTCTCAATATGCGATATTATTACCAAATATTGACTTTTTTATCCACTTGTTTTCTTTCAACTAGCACAGATTTTGTATTTCATTTTGGAAATGATTGAGCTTCACTGATCTGAGCCTGTGCATCTCAGTTATCCAGAAATGATGCTTTTTTCACTCACAAACTGAGGTGCATAAGTACAGATCAATGAGGCCTATGACCGATCAGATTCAAAAAGCAATACAAAACCTGTTGTGATTGAAAGAAATCAAGTTCACAAAAAGATTGAATGCAAGATTTGGTGATAATATAGCATTATGAGAGCTTTACAAGCAATTTTCAAAATGCTGGTCACTTTTAACCGGGAACACCAAATTGGGTAACGGATTTTCAGCATAGCATAAGGGTTAATAATGCACATTATAATGTAGAATGTATATCACCCTACCCACAAGGTCCCACTCTCCATTTGCAATATATCCTGTGATGTCAGCATCAATCATCTGCAGGTCCAGAGACCATCCCCCATACGTCCAGGAGCCAAACTTCAAATCACACCTCTGAAGATCAAAGGGGAACCAGCGGACATCGATGTAGCAGGTGCTTTTGAATATCCCTGCGAACAGAAATGGGAACTGACTGATGTGGAACATTTTTAGTGGAGAGTAATAAAACAGATCTTCCTTAAAGTCCTTAAACTCATAATAGTAACAACTATAACAAAACATACTTAACATTAATCATCATAATTATGAGTAATATTACTTTGTCATATAAGTGAACTTTGAAAATTCGATTTCTATAAACCATAATGGTGATGAAAATGAACATCGGGAGAACCGTTCAATAAGACGATCTTAAATTGAAGGTGCCAGTAAAGACATACATACGTATACTCAAACCGTTGATTGTTTAATACATCATCTTCCCTCTATGCTTCATTGCTTTCTTTTGCCATAAAGCATAATAGGCTTCTGACAAAGCTTTATAGAGGTTCAAGAGAAGGCAATCTCTTCAATGTCACTACAAAAAGAATTTAGTGCAAACTCACTGCCTGGACTACATCTACTCATGAATCAAATGTTTATCTCAGGATAGAGCCTGCTTCAGCTTTCACAGCGAGAAAAGTAAATGATGTAGTAGAGGTGAATGCTGCACAGCAAATCTCCATTCACATCAAATAGTTTGTCAATAAGGCAAACCTATAAGGAAAGGGTATATGTAGCTTTCCATATTAGCATAAAATCATATTTGCTGATTTTGCATAATATAAATTAGTTTAAATGTGCACTATGCATTTTTTTTATTTATTGTTTTTATGTTGCATGCCAATACAAAAGTGGTTTTGGATCATACTGATATTAATGATGCTGATGCAGCATTTTGCCAAAGGAAAGCTTTTTAGTTTGTCACACCATTGCATAAACACCCTATTTGTCAGCAATATAAATTTTACTGCCACAACCAAAAGTGTCCTATAATTGGACAGTTATCGAGATAAAGCGAGTAGTGAAGTACATCTCAACTTGGCTGTCTTCACCAAGTAATTGTGTGTGACTAAATTTCTCATGATTCTGACTTTCGTTTTTTGTAATTGTGAATTTAATTTTGGAATTTTATACTTTATCTTTCAACTGTGACTTAGTTCAGAGTCTGACTTCATTCTTTGTTTTTAATTATCACACAAATACGTATTTTATTTTTAACTCTGATGTGAAAAAGGCTTTCATAGCAATCCTCCCCTTGTAGAATAAAACTCTTTTTTTTTTCTAGATCAAGTGGGAAAACTTACTTGTGGCATTATAAACATCTAAAACGTACCTGGTGGTAGGTATTGGCAGGCACCAGAGGAATTCACCAGCACATTAGTATGAAATGTGGCATCAAACCTTTCATCAGCACTGTGAGGAACACAAGAATCGTTTTAAGTAAAAAGAACACAACGATGATTTATGAACATCTCAGAGGAACACTTAGAAACACTTGCGATTAGTCCAATGCAAAGTAAATGTATTTCATCTACACCGAATTATTTTGCACCACTAATGGCTGTGCAGTAAGTAGACAAAGACAAATCAAAATGGCCTTGTGACATGTTCAGGTTTATGTTCCAGTTATGTAAATGTGTTTGTCTAAATTAATTCTCATTTACAGTGGGTACGGAAAGTATTCAGACCCCCTTAAATTTTTCACTCTTTGTTATATTGCAGCCATTTGCTAAAATCTAAATCTGCAAAAATGTCAACGATTCTGTGTTTTTCTGTCAATATGGGGTGCTGTGTGTACATTAATGAGGAAAAAAAATTAACTTAAATGATTTTAGCAAATGGCTGCAATATAACAAAGAGTGAAAAATTTAAGGGGGTCTGAATACTTTCCGTACCCACTGTAGATAATGGAGGCATGTTTGAGAATAAAGAATTCGGTCTCAGAAATTCCCATAGAAAAGATCACAGTGGGCCAGGCTGCTAAACCAACATAACCAAAATTCACTAACAAAATGAATGCTTTTTCAATAAATAAATATTCCAGTGGATGTATAACATCTCATTTGATTCCATTTTAGTTTCCATTTAGCGATTAACTGACTTGATTAATTTGACCTCAACATATAGTGGCAAACTCTTCATCTTCTGTGGCAAATTCACTTTACCATCTGCTACTGCTTTTCCAGTAGACAGGGACAAATGAGGCCAAACCTTTGTTTTCCATGGCGTAGTGCAAACTCAGTGTCCATTTACTGTTACCAGCACTTTTTTCCCCCAGGCAATTTACTAACTCTCAAGAAATCGTTCACAAACAGGGTTTAAACTTCTAAAGGTATGTTTGGTTTCTATGGAACTCTTTTTTGATAAGCCATATGTGACCCTGGACCACAAAACTAGTCTTAAGTCGCTGGGGTATATTTGTAGCAACAGCCAAAAATACATTGTATGGGTCAAAATTATTGATTTTTTTTAATGCAAAAAATCATCAGGACATTAAGTAAAGATCATGTTCCATGAAGATATTTTGTAATTTCCTACTGTAAATATATCAAAACTTAATTTTTGATTGGTAATATGCATTGCTAAGAACTTCATTTGGACAAATTTAAAGGCGATTTTCTCAATATTTTGATTTTTTTGCACCCTCAGATTCCAGATTTTCAAATAGTTGTATCTCTGCCAAATATACAAAACAATAACAAACAATATATCAATGGAAAGCTTATTTATTCAGCTTTGAGATGGTGTCTAAATCTCAATTTTAAAAAATGGACCCTTATGACTGGTTTTGTGGTCCAGGGTCACATATACATATGGGTTTATCGATTACTCTCTGTGTGAAGATAACAAACCTGTTATACAGTAAGATGTCAGGCTTCCAGATCTGACTGTCAGGAAATCGTACATTCGTCACTCCGGGATATTCAGACATGTTCCAATGAAGATAGTAGTCATACCAGTACTAAAATAAAGAGAAGATCTCTTCATCATTGTCAATCAGGAACAACAAGGCAATTTACACTTAAAAGTGTATGCTCGGTGCAAACTGAATTAGGCATGATATTAACTTGAATCTGAACATCAATCTCTGTATAGTCTTCTTTAAGCGTTAGATATGTCAAATAATCATCAGAATCTAAAGAGGTTACATGCACATACAGAAGGTTTCTTTGGGCAGAAATTTTATGAAGCTGTATACATTAATTATAATTCATAATTCATTCAATTTATATTCTGTTAAGGTTTTTTAATGGAGCAGAGTCAAATACATTTAAATTAGATGCAATTTATATTTACTGATAGACTGCTGAGATCTTTAAATGCAGTTAATAAGGGTTTCAGATTCATAGGCACACTTGCTGGTGTACAGCATTGACCAAGGACAGCATTTGAAGGACTGTCATGGAAGCAGAGACAAATCCATTGCATCAAAGTTATTAACATTCAGCTATTAATAACAGACCCACAGAGAGGTCTCACAAGTCACATTAAACATAACTGTTTCAATGCATTGCTGGTGAGCAGTCTGTCAGACAGTGATAGGTGTTGGTGTCTTACCAGCTGCAACCAGATGTTGGTTTTAAGTACTTGATTCTTCTCATCCTGTAGATGGACAAAGATGCACTCTCATGAAAACTGAATAGATGATTAAAGAACTACCTCCAAAACATGTTTTAAAATCGCATTTTACATGGTCTTAACCCCTAAGACACTATAACTAAGAGTATGCTTTAGCATACTGTTAAAAAGAGGACACACGTTAACTACAATTAGATTAATATGCATTATTGAAATGTAGAGTGCTTTCTTAATCATTTCATAATCACTTTTGAGTGTGTTAAGACTCTCTTTAAACTCTCTTTATACTTTAGTGACTTTTTATTTCATTAGTATTATATTATCTGCAAGTTTTATTTTTTAAAGTGTACTTATACTGAACAAAATTATAAACGCAACACTTTTGTTTTTGCCCCCATTTTTCATGAGCTGAACTCAAAGATCTAAGACTTTTTCTATGTACACAAAAGGCCTATTTCTCTCAAATATTGTTCACAAATCTGTCTAAGTCTGTGTTATTTTGTTCAGTGTAGATTTGAAGTACAGTGCATGTGCACATTCATTACATTTAAGTGCCCACTTTTTTCAAAGGGAATGTAGTTAATGTGATTTGAGGCAGTTTTATGATTTTTTTTCACATCTATCAAAATACTGTTGAGCTGATCAATTGTGAGATGCTTGAACTTGTCTGTCTAATAAAACCTTAATGTTACTACAGAAAATTATTATATTGAACTGAAATTATAGACCTCAGTAAGTGCCATATTTAATTTTTGACAGAAAAAAAGGCTATAGGAACAGAAGTACAGTGCATTTAATGGATTGTACTGTTGTTTAAGAACATGCCAGTTGTTCAGCTGATGAAAAATCTTTAAAAAAAAAAAAAAATCAGTGCAGACAAACTCAATTTAGGACTTTTATCCAGTGGATGCAATTGTACAAACTGTAGATCTATCCCCCACAGCTTAATTTTCATCTGTGTAAAATTCAATATGGCATTTACCCTTCAAGTTCTATTGCTGCATGAACTGTGACAAATGATCTGTCGTGGCTTGCCAAAATATTTATGTTGCAATCTTCGAAAGCTTGATGCTACCTTTCCTCACTTCCACATTTTATGCTAAAATGCTTTCCCTCATCTTAGTTTAATGTAAAATGTGACTATGCATGTACATTTCCAAAACATTAAATATGTAAAGTACCTGCAGCAACAAACTGCTGTAATCTTGGTGGATTTCAAAGTGAACAGAACATTTGTTTTGGTGACAATCAGTGAACATTTTCTTTGCAAAAAAGACTAAAGACTAGAGTGATTTGGATTTGGTATAGCCTGATGGTGGAACAAATGTACTTGGATTATCCTAAAACATTCATGGTCATACTTTATCAGGGTGTGTTACGTGTTTCATCTTTTATTACTGAATTAACTTACCACATCCATAATCTGCATGAGACTGAAGCTGAAATACACAGTGAGTGAGTGTGTGTCATTGAACACAGGTCTCTCCAGTGGGTTATAGTCTTTCATCAAGTCTCTGTAGAGTCTCCTCTGCTGCTCTCCCTGAAGTGACACTGTCAGAGAATGAACAATGTGACACGGTTGCAGAGTTTCACCTCGAGTTAATCTGCACTGCGAGCTGCTTCCAGAAGAGGTTTGCAGCGTGCAGTGAATGAGATATTCAGGAGAACGCTTGCAAATCAACAGAGGCAGCTGTTCCAGCTCATTTGGATGTACGTGTATTGATCTGAAGCTCTCATCAAAGCTTTTCTGCTGGGTTTCAGTGATTAAATCTCCACCAGGAAGTCTGACTGATTGAATGCATCCACTTTCCTTAAGTATGCATCTAACTCCCTGTTTGAACTATTTTTAACATTTGCCAGATTTGGACAGCAAACAGCATAGAGAACTTTGATGTAACTCGTGAAGATATTATGTTGAAGTACTTTTTGTATGTAAAAAGCAAATGAAAAAAGGTAACTCTAGTTTCTTTCCCAAAGTTCATTCAGTGCCCTCTCTCATCTAGCTGGCTAATAAAAGGGATCTTTTTCCCAGTGTAATTCCCTTAAAATCACATCCATTCATAATCTAATTCCACCGTGGACATCCTCTAGATTACGTCAGGCCTTTTCTTTATTCAAAAAGCCACCTGTGATTCATGAGTGTCTAACAAAGAAACCAGAGAGCTGGACTCCCTTGCCTACACCAGAGACATTTTACTGTACACAAAGACAATGCATCCAGTGTAACCACATCTTCAAAGATTCAGTCAAAGACCCTTTATTATAAAAAACCTCAGCAATTAGAACAATTAAGATAACCTGACTCCTAGCAAAGCAGATTCAAGCAACATTTTAAATGGTATACATACCGTACATGTGCAAATGTAAACTGCCAACATAATGACTTTACATTTGATCCGATTTACCTATTGTCCTTACCTATTAACCTGGCATTCTGGCCTGTATCCTCAACTAACAAGCCTCAAACCAAAACATCAATTTTAATTGATGTCACAGTTGCAGCTGAAATATTGAAATCCAAACACAGCAGACATTTAACACTAATCTTACAAGTAAGCAGGAAATATTATTGAACAGTTCGACTTAAAATAACTTAAATAGAGCAAAAGAGAAAAAAGCCAATAATTCAACAAAGCTCATGGGTATTTCATACTTCAATTTCCATTAGGTTTCTTACCACTCCATAGGCAGGTTGTGGTGGTAAAATAAAGAGTATATTCCCAAATTCCCATGTTCCTATGAAAGTTAAATTGCTGTAATGAATAGAAAAGCTCTAGGGGATGTAGGTTTCAGTGTTGTAAAGAGTCTTTCTCAGCATCCCACAGGCAGAAGTGAATACAGTCTCATGCAGCAGCATCAACAAAAGGCACGATGCCCCGCCTCCTCCAGCACTACATGGTTTTATCCTGTGGTCTTCCATTGACATATTGTTTTTAAATTAATCTAATTACAACATAAAGCCTAAAAGGAATGCTAATGGCTTTTTCTAATATAATTTGTAACCAGTCGTAAAGGGCTTCAATAAAAAAATCCTGCTAGAATCAAAGAATAGAACTGAAAACTGCAAAAACTGATCAATCAATCAATCAACCGATCAATCAATCAATCCTGAAAAATAGTGGTTTCAGTCTATTCCTAACTTTATCCAATTCATCCTCTAAGTAATAATAAAAGAGTAAGAGTGAGAATAGCTCTACTTCTCTTTACTAGTATATTTCATTAAATGTTACCACTGTGGAAATTATTAAAAAACAAATGTTATTTACTACAGTGCTGTATTAAGCAGAACACTGGTATCCCAATCCACACAAAGCTTCAGTGAATCTGTGAATGCACTCTCAGACAATACCTGTGCCATCTTTAATTCTGCACAAGGGCTTTGATCATGGTCGTCTAAAATTCAGTGGTTCCCAACCCTGGTCCAGAAGGCAGCCCAACACTGCACGTTTTGCATGTATCCTTAATCAAACACACCTGATTCAGGTCATTGGCTAATTAGTAGAGACGCCAAGATCTGAAACTGGTGTGTCAGAGAAAGGAGATATGCAAAATGTGCAGTGTTGGAGTGCCTCCAGGACCAGGGTTGGGAACCAATTAATACATTTCCAAGGCTACTGAAATGTCATACATGAGCTTACTTTCGTAATTTTGCTTTTACCTCCTACAGTTCCTGGTGCTGCATTTGGGTGGGAGATATAAGAGCAGAGACTTGGCAAATGCCCCACTGCACTGAACAAAGAGTCAGCCAGAATTAGCTCTGCAACTTGCTGCTCAGCACATTAAGAACAGACGTCTTAAAGGTGCACTCTGTGATTTTTTTCTCATTAAAAAAGCTTTAAACATAAAAAAATTAATAGAAGTGTTTAAAAAAAAAAAGGTTTTTCATGGAGCGGCTCACCTCATGCCCTCACGCGCTGATGACTTATCATGTCTGTGCGTGCGCGGAAGTATGCAAATACATATGTCGACAGGCAGGTACTGTAGGACAGCCTATCATAAAGTTTGGACAGAATAATCTGATTGGTTGAACATTTTATGGTCCTATGCTTCCATAGACTAAATACATATGGACGGTTTCATCGGACGCACGCGCCTGGCCTGAAGTTAACTTACAGTCTGTGTTTGTTTATCGGTCTGGCTAGTGGACAGTAATATGGCGCCGACTACAAACACAATTAAAGTTAAGGTGATGAGTAGACTGAAGTTGTTGGGAAACCTCTATTTCTGCCACTCCAAAAGCGCCTTCTGCTGGCAGAGAATGAATTAGCATTTTAAACCGGCCCATCTGCTGTTTTCGTTCAGATTTATGTTTTTACGCAGGAAACACGCAGAGCAGATGTAAATGTTTGTAAATTGTAAATGTGAACCGGTATATACAGGGGAAGGGCCGCCACACATACTCTCATGTTGTTCCAAACCCATAAGACCTCCGTTCATCTTCGGAATACAAATTAAGATATTTTTGATGCATTCTGAGAGCTCTCTGACCCTCCCATAGACAGCAAGGGTCCTTACATTATCAAGGTCCAGAAGCGCTAAAAGCTAAAACAAAGCTATGAGAATATTTCGGATACGCTGTTTACGTTCAAATCAAAGCGTAAACGACGTAAAAAGCGTATCCGCGTGCCGCAGCTGACACAGAACAGCATACACTGTTTGCGTTCAGTGGATACTCTACAAAATGGCGCTTGGGTGACGTGGAGGTGACGAATTGTTGAATAAAGGCGTTTTTTTTTTTTGCGCACAAAAAGTATTCTCGTAGCTTTGTAAAATCACGGTTGAACCCCTGATGTCACATGGATTATTTTACCGATCTCCTTGCTACGTTTCTGGACCTTGATCATGTAAGGACCCTTGCTGTCTATGGGAGGGTCAGAGAGCTCTCAGATTCCATAAAAATACCTTAATTTGTGTTCCGAAGATGAATGGAGGTCTTACGGGTTTGGAACGACATGAGGCTGAGTAAATAATGACAGAATTTTCATTTTTGGGTGAACTATCCCTTTAAGTTTGAGCCACAAAAGCGCGCATGTTTCAGTAATGTCAACAGCAAAATATAATTTTCAACTACTTGACTAGTTTACATTCGCCCTGCATAATTTAATGTAGTACACTGTAGATTTTAGAGAATTACATTAGCCTACTTGAAGGCAAAGAAATCAGATATTTAGGACAGAAATATTTTGTTGTGTATATCTCAACTAATATGATTGAGTAAATCTGTGTTTTCCTTTTTTATATTTATTTATTTGTTTGTTTGTTTGTGATTGGGGCAGACATGTTGAGATCACATGACCATCACAGTAACCCATCTATTACCAGACACTTTTGCTGGTGGAATAAGTAAATCATGGCTGGCTGTGAATAGAGCACTTCTATTTAAAGAAGAGCGATTCTGCAGCAAAGTACAGTATAAAGGAAAAGGAGTTGGTCCGTTGCCAAATTTGGAGAACAGAAAGTAGATGGCAGAACAGAAAAAGGGGAAATTCAGGATTGGAGCATTTGTCACTTGTGGGGCCAGCCTTGTGCTTGGATCAGCTCCCATTGCTGGCAGAGAAAACAAATGATTACAGTAAGCTGGTGGCATAGGCGGAGCGTGGGTGGGTGGGGAACAGAACGGGAGGTGGGAGGAGATTCTTGAGTTGAAGCAGACGAGGGTTGGCAGAGCTGCAGGGTAAGGCTGGAATGGATTGAAGAACGGAGAAAGGATTGGAGACTGAGACCACTGGGGATGGGGCTTGAAGCACAGGTCTTTTTTGCTGTAGCAGTAGGTTGGGTCAAAGATTGCTTAAAAAAGAAGCTTGGGGTGTTTAGACACATCCCACAATCCAACTCTCTCAATGCTACAGTGAAAAAAAAATGTTTTTGTTTTTTTTAACTGGATGCCTACATTGAAGAATTATTGAACAGTTTGTAAGGCACTCACCAAGCAGAAAGAAATAAAATTAGACCAAAACCATGGCCGTTCACTACTTCTTTGAGCTGGGAATGATGATATACCCTTTTACTAGCACTCCGATACAACTTTTAACCCCACAAAGGCAGAGAGGGAATATGGACTATTTTTTCATTTCGTCATGCTGGATCTATTCCCAGCAGATGGACAGATGTCAAATGCTCATTACACACCAAATATCTGCATGAAATCTACAGTCCAGATTTAATGCTATTTTCTGTGATTTCACACCTGAGCCCTCTCATATCCCCTTCATCATCATACAGTTGCATCTCATGCACTTTAGTGTTAATCCCATCCAAAAGCTACAGCTTGAGCAATTACAGAGAATTCAATACCTGTTTCTGTGAACATGTCTGAAGCATGATAATGTCACCTAGAAAAAATGACACTTCACATGAACAGCATTAGAAAGAGCACAGCTGTAAAGTCTGACAGCCTTAATTTGACTAAAAATCTTTGACTAAAAAGTGAGGTTCATATCTTACCTACATTCATTCATTCATTCATTCATTCATAAAGCACAAATAAACACAACAAAACTTGACCACTGTGCTGTACATAAGAGAATATAAGGAAAAAAATGAACAGAAATAAAAATAATAGTAATAGTAAAATTGTAAAAATAGAGTAATTTTGTTCAAATAAGTACATGAATTATGATGACTTAAATTCAAGGGTAAAAAGATGAGACTTTAACTTAGATTTAAACTCAACTCACCTCTCAACTTCAGTCTTGATCTTGGATAGGACAGAGTATGTCTGTGGATTGCAAGCATCTGACTGACTTTTCAAGTTTAAAGGGGTCATATGATGTTGCTAAAAAGAACATTATTTTGTGTATTTGGTGTAAATTGAACATTTGGACTATGCAAATCTTCTCGTTAGAACAAGCTGTTTTAGGTAGGCGTGGTTGACTCTTAACTTTTATAAAGAATATCTCTTTGGATTTGAGACTTTAGTATTTGCAACTTTACAGATCTTCTTTATGCACCAAGAGCTTGTAACACTCCAAAGAGAAAGGAAAAATTTGAATTGCATCATATGACCCCTTTAAATGATCTTGGTTTAAAATAAGGTGCCAGACCATTTAGGGATTTAAAGGCACAATATGTAATTTTTTGCCGCTAGAGGGCGCGTATTCAAAATAAACAAAGAGACAAAGGCGTAGTTTTTCTTCTAAACATTTGGGATAATGTAAGTACACAAGTCAGCAAAATATATTACACTGTTCTAGTGGTTTTTGGATATTTTAATAAAAAAATCTTACATATTGTGCCTTTAAAAACAAGCAACAGTGCTTTAAATTCAATCCTATAATGCACTGGCAACCGACTGAGAGACACTAAAATCTGAGTAACATGTTCACGTTACAAACCCCACTTAAATATCTGGCTGCGGCATTTTTAACCATTTTAAGCCATGCCATGAAGAACTAGGGTAATCCAATATATAAGGAATTACAATAGTCCAAAAGAGAAAAGACAAAAGCATGCATAACTCTTTCAAGATATTTAGGAAACATCTTGGATCTTTAGGATAGGAAAGACTTAACTTTAGACAGAAGTTTTAAATGAAAGAAGCTTGATTGAACTACTGTATTATATAGGTCAAACTTAAGGGAGGAATCAAAAATAACTCCCAAATTTTTCACAGTCTGTTTAATATAGGAATTTAAATTGCCAAACAAATTAATTCTAAAATATTTGGAGACCTTCATGATCTTACATCAGCTAAACATGCAAGCAAGATTTCTAAACCTTAGCGTGTCTGGGCCTCAGTGAGGTCAAACTATTACATGTCATGACAGAGGGTTATTATTAGGTGACTGCCCTCAAAC